CCGTTTAAGAACATTACCGTTCCAGGCAAAGTCTTTTTATTTTCAGTGGCATTTATTACTGGAACTGTTGTCTTAGCGGAACAAGAGTTGCTGCGAGAGGAGCGACGCGTTGGTCGCGAAGAGATGCTGAAATCAAATGACAAGCTTGCATATGCCGATCGTAGATTCCGAAAAAGAGCCGTGGGATCTGATGCGTCATCATAGCTCATGATAGCCAGGGCGCGGTTTATTTAATTATGCATGTATAAAGATACGAATGTAAAGATGTATATGCAACAAGTTAAAATAGGTTTCCGTCAACAATATTCGAAGAGACCTGGACGTTTTTTGTCTGCTCACGACGAACGCGGCACCAAAGAGAATTGGAGTCTATAAAGATGAAATCCCAAATGACCTTTGTCCATGAATTATATGATGGAAGCGGGTCGTAGAATTCCGGAGCAATCTTGCGGAGCGTCGGCAGTCTTGTCCAGGGAATGTAGGGGAAGTCATGATGTTCGTTGTGGTAGCCGACATTATATACGAATATATTTAGTGGTCCATAGTAGGAGTAAGTGTCAGGAGGTGGAGTGTCTTTGAGTGATTCCGGTAACTTTTTGGCAGCCGGAAGGTTGAGGACGTAGTGTTCGGCGATAAAATGTCCTGCCAGAGGATGTAGCGAGCCGGCGAAGAAAGACGAGAGAAGGAAGTAGATGAGTGGAGTCCATCCGAAGTATTTGACTATTAGATAATCAGCAGTGAGTTGGTAGGCAAGATTAAAAAGATGCCACCAGCCGATTGGTATAGATGCTACGCACATAGGACGAATAGCGTAGAAGAGCAGCTGAAATGTCGCGAACACGGCTTTGCCCATAACGCTGTCGAGAACTATTGCCTCGAGCTTAGTAGGTAGATCTGTATCATATTGGTCGTGACCAAGATGTTTATGATGCATCAAATGGTACGGTCTAAACGAGGCAGCGTACGGCAGGCCTATTGGCAGATTGACGAGGGCCGCTGCGAGTCTGTTTGCGAAAGGAGACTTAAAGCCCAGGTTGTGCGAAAGCTCGTGAATGGCCATGAAGATGTTTTGATTAGCCGTTCCACCAATTATATACGCAGTGATAAGTACGGGCCAGCTAAGCGATTTATGATTTCTAAAGTAAAGAGCAATTGACAGCTGGAGCAGAACGACTGAGCCTACGACATATATTGTTCTCGGCTCGGGCCCACATAGTTTGGTGACTTCAGGATGAGCTTTTATTATTTCTTTCCTTCGCGTACGATGAGGTTCTTCTTGACACGTCCATAAAAAGTCATTTGCGGACTCTTTGCCAGTCATTCGTGAAATATTTAGCGAATCAGGTGATTTTATAAGTTCGATATATATCTAAAAATAGGGAGAAAAGGGATGTAGTAATTAGTGGGAGGAAACACATCGCGGGTTCAGGTCAGTTGTTATAAGGGAAACAGCCGAATGATTAGTTGTCTTTAACACCTCTTGCCATCAGAAAACAGCACCGTGGGTTTTCGGCAATACGTAATATAGATAACGTATTCCAGCGGTAAATTTTCGCGTTAATTAATCCAAACAAAGAAAATAAAATAACACGTCAAAATGGCTCCTCAAACACCTACACAGAGAAAAGCCAACCTGAAGTATGCAAAGTCAGAAGCAGCCAAAATGGGCAAACCGAAATCATCTATTCATAACGATAAGAGACAAGTATCATATTCACCGGCCTGGATCATATTTATCGTATTCTTGGCTTGCGGCGGTATAGCTCTCGAGTTATTTTCTATGATCTACAACTCTTTCAGATAGATCGACCGACGCCTGTATACAAAACTCTCTGCACCCTGAGGAAGCCTGTCAAGTGACATCATGCCGCTATTTTCGTTGTTCTAAAATAAATAAACCGACAAATTTGACATCATTCAAACTTTTTAAGCTCTGGCTAATATGTAGACGATTGAGTGGCTTGTCATAATGTAATGCAACGCGTACGTACACTTCCGTTACGGCTTAACCCGTTACGGCTTAACGCCTAACCTTCCAGTATGAGGAGTTCATCAATCGATATTGCAAGATAATGTCATTTATTATTAGTTCGCAAAAACACTATATTCGTCTGTAAAAACAAACGAGGGTGTACGTTTAAGTCACGCAGTCTGGTTGTTAATCTGAGTTAGAGTTGCCAAGCTGACTAATCCACCTTTGCTCTGACCCTATCTAATTCTCTTAACGTATATAGATGCGCATGACGGACGAGTTCTTGACCAATTCGCTGAGCACATTACCAAAATGACTGATGTGAAGGAGCCAGATGAGTTTTTGGTTACCCGGGATCAGCTGGACTTTTCCGAGCGGCCTCTCAACAAATCGAACGTCAGAAAGTGGATCATGACTGTAATCATCATCGTGATATCCACAAATCTCACAGTTCTTAGCTCCATCTATGCTGCAGCAATAGATGATATATCAAAAGAATTTCAAGTTTCTCATGAAGTTTCGACCCTTGGTATCACTACATACTTGCTTGGACTCGCTACCGGCCCTTCATTGCTCGGTCCTATCTCCGAGTTTTATGGCCGGCGTCTAGTTTACTTAGTCTCCCTCTTTCTTTACATCGCCCTCCAGTTCCCAACCGCATTTGCACCCACGATAGAAGCAGTCCTGATACCTAGATACTTTGCCGGCTTTTGCGGTTCCGCAGTTTTCTCTGTCGCTGGCGGCACAATCAGTGACATATTCCCCAGATCAAGCATACAGGCCCCCATGATCCTGTATGCCGCAGGCCCTTTCCTCGGCCCAGCATTAGGACCAATTATAGGATTTTTCATCTCAGAACTATCCAGTTGGAGATGGATCTTCTATGTGTGTATTATCTGGTCCGCAGTCAATTACGTCTTCGTGGTGTTCTTTCTCGATGAGACTTATGAACATTATCTTCTACGCAAAAAAGCCCAAGAGTTGCGTAAAACCACAGGCGATTCCCGCTACTACGCTCTCATAGAACGTCAAGCTAACTCTGTATTGCAAACCATTATTGTCTCTCTTAAGCGCCCGTTCATTATTCTCTCCACAGACGTCATGATCTTGTTACTCTCCATATATGCTGCTCTGTTGTTATCAATCGTCTATCTATATTTCGTCTCATTGCCAATAGTATACACTGGTGTGTACAAGTTCCGCGAGCAGTTTCTGGGCCTAGCCTTTATTCCTCAAATCATAGGGATAGTTGTTGGAACCTGCTTTGGATTCGCGTACTTCCAATACGAAGATAGACACCGCACCAAGGATATGATTGAAGAAGATGTCCTAATTTTACCAATGGCAGGTGGAATCATCACTGTGATAGGGCTGTACCTATTTGCATTCACTATTAGAGAATCAGTTCATTGGATTGTATCAATGATAGGATCTGGATTGGTAGTGCTGGGTATTCTGTTCAGCTTCAATGGCATTTTCACGTATACGGTGGCTGCCTGCAAGAGCTGGGCTGCATCTGGCTTGGCAGCAAATACTATCTGCAGGTGCACCCTTGCAGGTGTTTTCCCGCTCTTCGGTGCTCAAATGTATGATAACTTAGGATACATGTGGGCGTCCTTGTTAATTGCCGCTTTGGCAACAATCTTTGTCCCTATACCATTCATATTTTATAGATATGGTGCAACTTTCCGCGAAAAAAGCGCACATAGATATTCATGAATGTGCTAGCGCTAGCATGGATTATAGTATCATTTTGCATAACGAAAAAGCACTTATGAACCGTTCATAATTACATTTAATGCCTGTTCAAAAGTAACAACCTCTTGCTCTATGGCAATTTTCAAGAAACTCCAGTTTTTGCTTTCTGCAATAGACTTATATTCATTCATTTTGCTGATTCCTTCTCGGATCATATCTTTTATTGAATCGGTAGATCCATCATTTTTTATAAAGTTCTCGACCTCCTCCACAGTTTCAACCACATGATTCCACATAATTATTCCCTCGTTTAACGATTCAATCTCTGTAGCAGCTTTAGATTTTAAATCCTCGATGATTGCGCTTTCGGCACGTTTCATGTTTACAGTATCGATGCTAGCCGACCCGCATCCTTTCAATTTCTCTTCCAATTTTGACACTCTTGAGCCCAGAACAGATTCATACTCCTGTAATCGATTAAAGATTTCCGATCTTCTTTTTTTTAATGCATCTAGAGTTTTAATGACCTCTTTGATCTCTTCGTCTGTGTCGTTCAACTCCTTAGTCACTTTGTCAACGTTCAAAGCATGGATCGATTCGTTTTTGAGCGCCAACAGCAGATCCTCAGTATCCTGTTTAGTTTTACATTCTGCCTTCAAAGATTCAATATGTTTGATTTTTAAATTACTTTCTGCTTCTAATATATTCAATTGAGCAGTTCTTATACTTGCTAGTTGCCTCATCCCTTCGGCGATATCGCGTCTGCATTCGCCAATTCCATTGATCTCGCCTATCAATGCCCGTCCCTGAACATTTAATAGCTCCTGAAACAAATTCTCGGTCCTGCGAGCATCTATCTCAAGTGTACTCAACCGTGCATCGTCAATGCCCGCAGCCTGCAGCTGTTTATTGAACATAGTGGTCAAAGTCACTTTAGAGTTGTCTCTCCCAGGCTTTTTGGTCCGATCAGCGGACTATCAATTAGTTCACTTTGTTCTTTATTAATGAAGAAACAGTGATATATAGCGTTTAGCTCTGTAAGCATTAGTATCATGAAATGAAGTTCGATGCAACATAAGTGCAACGTATGTGAGTAGGAAGCATACCAGTACAATACTATAGTCTGGTTTGCCTTTCAAAACACGATCGATTTCAAACATGATATCAAACTCTGCATCTATGCTATGCCATTATAAGACTAACAAAGTAAATTATACATTCATTAAAAAGTATTAATCAAGATACATATATCATATCGCAAACAATCAATTAGACTATAACATGAGTAAAGCCCTTATTACGAATCAGCAGCCTCCCTATACTATTCTTAGGTGCTGTGTCGCAATGGTTAGCGAGTTGGATTTCGGTTCCAAAGGTTGCAGGTTCGAATCCTGTCAGCATCGTTTTTTATTTTTTGGCGTACATTGCGATTGATCACAGTTATGTGACTACATTGTTATGTAGATATATATATAAACGCAATTAATAATTGTTATATATATAATGCAGGAGATAATATATAAAGCTGAAAACCAGTTAGTCCAATTTGCCTTATAGCTCTCCCAAGGATAACAACTCTCAACTCTTCCTTCGAGAACCACTAGCAAACACAAGTATGCCTGAGTCTGATGTAGCTCCTCAAAATGGCCAGCAAGAGAATCGCCCTTCTCCGATGTGGACGATGATAAGATCTATCTTGATCGTGATCGTGATTCAAACTGTCATATCGAACGTTTTGCCTTTGTTGAAAGCCAAAACGAAGACTGGACAGGCTGCAGATACTGATTTCAAGACAAAAGATTCAACTGCCAGTACTGTTCCAGGACTGGTGGCTCCTGTATGGCCTGTAGGGTCTTTGTTACACGCTGCAATCTACATTAATGACAGACCGCTCTTATATAAGGAGGAAGAACCTATATATGTTACGCAGGTTGTGTATGGAGACAAATTTAGCGATACTATTGACACTGAATTGACGCTTACTTCCGCAATGTCGAACAATGGATCGATATTTGCGCATATACTACTCTCGCGTGAAGGAGCTGAATTAGACCCGCAAGGCGCTGGGTTCGATCCTCTTGCTGCCACAAGGTACACATTTCAATTGAACCACTTCTTTCCCAAGCGCAAGCAAGTCAAAGAGAAGTATCTTTTAGGTTCTACTCATGACGAGGAAGAATTCGAAGAAGAGCAGGATGACGACTCAATGTATGAGAAAGAAATTGTCTCCTATTGGCACCCTAACATCACGGTTCAGATGGTGCGCAATTCAGGAGAGTTTGATCTGAGCAAATCACCTCCCGTTCTTCGTGAACATTTGAAAGTTGCTGCGTATGAGGGACAAAGAGTGAAAACTTACTTTCCAATTATCTTTTATAATGACTTTTGGCATTTAAAGTCACAAATGATAGAGCTAAACAACTCGGTGACGTCGGTGCCACTGCATTTCCAGTTTTCTGACATTGTACAATGGAAGTATTTTTTAACCAGTACCGCTTCAACAGGCTTTAAACAACAAGCTTCAACATCAGGTGGTACCGGATCGGAGCTAGAAGAATTCAAACGCGTGCTTCTGGAAACCAATATATGGCTGCTGGGCATCACCGCCTGCGTTTCAATGTTACATACTTTGTTTGAATTTCTGGCTTTCAAAAACGATATATCGCACTTCAGAAATAAAAAAGACAATGTTGGTATTTCGGTTCGCTCCATCATAGCCAATGTGGTTATGCAGTCAATAATCTTTTTGTACCTCCTGGATAATAATGAAGACACATCTTGGATGATTTTATTTGGACAGGGTTCTAGTATTCTTGTGGAAGCCTGGAAAATCACTAAGGTAGCAGATGTGAAAATTGAAGCCGGATCTGGTCTTCTTCCTTTCAAGATACGTCTCCAAGATAAACACGAGTTAAGTGAAACAGAAAAGAGAACTCAGGAATACGATCGCATAGCCTTCAAGTACCTGTATATGGTTGGCATTCCCCTCATTATGGCATATGCGGGGTATTCATTGATGTATGATACTCATAAATCATGGTACTCATTCATCATTGCTACCCTTGTGGGTTCAGTGTATGCGTATGGGTTTCTGACGCTTGTTCCGTCAATTTACATTAATTATCGTCTCAAATCAGTTGCGCATATGCCTAGACGTGCCATGATTTACAAGTTCTTAAATACTTTCATCGATGATTTGTTTGCATTTGTCATTAAAATGCCTCTCCTACACCGCCTGGCTACATTGAGAGACGATGTGATCTTTATCATTTACATCATTCAAACGTTCTTATACCGTGTGGATTACACAAGAGTGAATGAATTTGGACAAGGAGGTGACGAAGATAATGACTCGGAAGATAAAAATGAGCAGGGCGTTGCAGAACCTGAATCTATTGAAAATAAGAAATCGAAATAGATTGGTCGATCTAACGTGCGGCCGTAGTTATACCGATCTTCTACCACTTCGCAATTTTAGTGCTACGTATGTGATGCATTTTGCAACTTCGAGTTTTGAGTTGTAGTATGAGAATTATATAGGTATTTGTTCAGCGGACAAACAGATAGCAGAGTTGTAATCTTCACGCATATGGAAGTCATTGCCCTCTGCATCTGTGTGTCACTCTGCCGGAGAACAAACAGCTTGATTAGAAGGGGAACTGCTTGACATTACCTTCATGCTTGGCGTTTTGCGTTGTGTGTACATAAGAGAGAAAATTCAGGATTTTTGTTGAAAAAGTTACAGGACACCTTTCCGTTGATATTGTTATGATCGCGGCTACGTAGCCATATAGGAGAGATTTTCCTCGATGATTAGATTAGACTTTGCGGAGAATAGAGTTAAGCCTTGACGATTCAATTTCTTAACGGCTTGATCCAGTAGTAAAACAACCCTTAAGAGGGGTGCTCTAGTGGTAAATGTGCTTTCTAGCACGAGATAACGAAGGCAAAATTGGTAATCAGTCTTTGCCGTAATGTGGTAAAAAAGGAAGGTGATGAATGTCTGTTCCGGCCGATGAGCTCGATGGAAAAATGCAAGGAGAATGGTACCATTAGGGTAGGACTGTGGAAAAGCAATAACATGTGGGTTGAATTTTTTAATTAGATGATACTTATCAATTTTAGCGTCAAAAACGTTGTATCAATAACTTTGATAAGCGATATCGCTGACCAGGCGGTGAAAGAGTTGTCTTCTTGGCCGGCAGGGTCATCCGGACAAGTACAGGTCCAATTTTGGCGGCGCACGCTGTGACAAGCAGAGCGAAAAGACTAAACATGGTTCACCATTGGTTATATCTGCATGTGCAAGCAAGTTGGAAGATGAAGGGTCAAAAATGATGTTCAGGGCGGTACTTAGGTTTGATCGAGGTTTGATCGAGGCAAATCATAACTGTCAGGGAGCAGTTCAAAAGAAAGAATCGAAATGAGTGCGCTAATGTAACTGTTACTCAGTTAGGGCATGACATTGCTACATTCGGAAGCTTAATTCTATTTGGCAAAACATCAAATAAAAAGAGTTCGATTGACATCGTTGAGTAGCAGTGCAGTTGAGCCGTAATACTTCCGCTGATGATTGAGAGTTTGGCATACTAAGAGGCTTCAGTAGACCATTTCATACAATTCAAAAATAGTATGCAAGTTCAAGACGTTCTTGGCGTTTTAGTGCAATTCCTTATCGGCTATGGATGATGGAACATGCCACTAATTAGTTAGAATGGATGATTCGCTCTAAAGTCTGCGCCGGCATAATGTGAAAGTAAGACCCTTTTTAAATTCTTTTCTCTCCAATCATGCGTGCAGCTGTCTATGGAGTTTAACCTTATAGCGATACAACACTTCCTTCTTTTCGGGCACTATCTTGCTTTCTTTTTTTAGTGCAAAATGAATGTGCGACTAAAACAGGCTTTAGGGGAAGTGCATCTACTAGATATGAAGATAAGAGATTGAAATACTATCAAGATAATTGAATATGCATGATAATTGCAATCGGTATTGCCCTGGTTTCGGCTTAAACCTTGTGCCGCAAACCCGATGATCACATCCCATAACGGGCGAGAAACAGCCGCTTTTTGTACCATAAACCGCGCGAGTTTCAGAATCCGGTCAGTACCGTCTAGTGCTGATCAGGATCCGTGTTCCAATAGCCGAAACAATGCAAGTCGGCTTATATTGCGGTCACTTATAGCGCGTGATTCAACAACACAATCCGTATTGCCGTCACCAGTAGTACAATCGCGACCGCTCTGTCGTAAGCTAACCGCTTACTTAATTTTCTGTTCCTATACATCTTAATTACACCTCCAGTAACAATTTACCCCACATAGCGGTATATTCAAATTTTAGTGCCGCAAGAGCCGCCCTATCTTTTCTTATTCTCATTGGATTCCTGCTCTATTGCATAGGCCTGACGGCTTTGCCGCGAAAGTATAAGTAAACTTTAATAGTTGGGGTCTTTTTTACCCTGGAATCCGTCTATACTATTGGCTGAATTTTGCTATTTTTGAGCACGCCGTATCCGTATGTTATTAACCTTAATAGTGTAGCAGTTTACCCCTTACCTTACAAACTGAAATACCAGCTAAAAATACTCAGCCTAACAGTGCTACTCAATCTCCTCAAAATGTATATATAGTCTAACGGCCAGATATGATTACTCCATCGCTATTTCATAATCGAGGGTTTAGTCAAAGAACTTGTCATTCTCTTGTTCTTTCTGCAAAACTCTTAGCCGTCTACTTCTTCCCCGCTTCTTTTCTTTGATCTAGGTCCGGGGCTCTTTTTCAAACCCTGCACCGAAGGCAGATTATCGCTTGCTGACCTATAAGGGTCTTTCCGTTTCGGTACTTGACATACGCACGGGATACGAGGGATTTCTTTAAATATAACAATCAACGTCTCCTTTGCGTCACTTACACTTACTTCTCTTTTAAGGATCTGCGGTTCTTTACGTTCACTGTTCATCATTTATACCGTATCTGTCCTATTAAAACAGTAGCTCGTGACCTACTGATAACGCTAACATAAGATTTTCACTACTGAACACTGACGTTTAGAATGGAGAAATTGCAAAAGGAGTCTTCGGGCTCTTCCTCTTCATTTAACCTCGGAGACCTTGAAACTAAGAAAGTAGTATCATCTATCCAAGAATCTCAAGACGATGAGTCTATCCAGTCTACGCAGAAAGGTGACTTCAAAAGAACTCTTACTGCTAGACATCTTCAATTCCTGTCAATGGGCGCTAACGTGGGCACTGGTCTGTTTATTGGTACCAGCACACAGCTTACTGAAGGTGGCTCTTTGGCTATGATTCTCGGCTTCATCTTCGTCAACTTCATAGTCGCCTCTATGCTCATGTCTCTCACTGAACTCACGATTATGTTTCCAATCCATGGAAGCTATATCG